AAAACTTGTCCTGCCAGTTCGCTGCCGACGTGCTTGCACCAATACCTCTGCAGTCGTCCTGTCCAAGTTCTGTAACCACGTCATGGATCTCCCTACAAAGGTGAATAATTGTCCAGTGGGTGCCTGGACCAGCATGCCGTACTCGTCGCGCGACTGCAAGATCTTGGCCACTGTCTTTTGTTTTTTTCCTGACATTCGCCATGTGCGGTAACTTCACTTGAGTGCCCAGGTCAGTCGATAGAGTTCGAGGCGTTGGATCAGCAGGAGTCGTGGCTGGTTTGTCCTCCATCCCTAGTTTCAGCGGGGTCTCATCATTCATTGTGTAGTCGACGTACAAGATCAGCCTGCACCCAGAATTTGCGAGGCTCGATTCTAGCTCGTACCTCTGCGACCGATCTCTGTGGATGATCATCGACGCCAGCTGGCACAACTTCGGCTCGATCTTGCGACGGTCGACGTGTAGGGAGTCGGCAATGCATAGCTCGGTGCCTGTCTTGAACTTGCTAGCGCCACCACCACAAGCTAGAAAATGTCGGGCTAAGGTGTTAATCTCTTCGTCGGTCTTTGCGTGGACGCGTTGCAGTGCGTCCTCAGCTTCTCGCACGAGAGGTTGGAGCGGCCACTGATCCTCATGCCAATCAGTCGTACGCCTAACAGCGCGTACGATGGGAAGGCTGGCTCTAGGGATCGGGTTCGTCTTGGCTCTGGGCAGGTCTGGTAATGCTACTACCTGGCAGCCCTCTGGTTGTTCTGCCCTGCGTCGCTGTTCAGCTTTTTGTCGCTTGATCTCACGAGCCCGCTGCAGCTGTTGTGCCCGAGTTGTGATTGGCGGTGGTGGTGGCGCGCCGAGCTCAACAAGAGCCTGCTTCAATACCGAGCACATCCGTTTTCGTTTTCTGGGCTGGCCTTCGTGATCGTGTGGGTGTTGCGGCTGTTGCTGGCTGCTGTCGCCTCCCTGTACGGCATCAGGGGTCGCTGGTGCATCTGCGTGTCTACTAAAGTCATGGTGCGGGCTCTCGCCAAAGTAGCGATCCCACGCCCCGTCGTGGTCACCGCTGGTAGTTCCAGCTTCCATCTCTGCAACTGCATCGTCCCAAGGATCGTCCATGATGGTGTCGGTGCGAGATGAAGCTGGAGTGAAACATATTTGAGCCAAAATGGCTACGGAAGGATGGCCCAGGGCGGAGGAGGAGGAGGCTGTTAGCTCTTTTGGGGCCTTTGGGCAACGCTGATTGCGAATCAAACCTGTGACCATCTGGACTGGTAATCGGACAAGGCCATGTGGGGGATTACTGCAAATGTACCTCGGGGCGACTTTGGGGCCTTCTCTCGCGCCGAAGGTGACGAGACGGGAACTCAAAAAGGAAGATCATGGACAGACGAGGGATGTTGTAGGGACGATGCTGGCGAAGTGTGGGCATTGTGAGGGGGCGGTGGAGTTGGTGAAAAAGGGGTGGAGAAGGACATCGAAAGGGGGGACGTGGGGGTTCGGGGATGAGGGTTCCCTGGGGCAGAAAGACAGGACAAAAAGATAATTCAGGAGAACGACGCCGAGGATATTGCCCACGCAACAATTCGATTGCGGAAAGGTCGGGTGTGGCACACAGGCCCGTTGCAAGCACTGGCTTGGGAATTCTACGTCGGTTGTCGTGGGGCATCATATGGCAACACTAGTGTGTATCATTGGTCGGTAGGCCAGCTTTATCTCGACCGTAGCCCCTTCCGAGTGCGAAGCAACCACTGGCGATTTTCAAAAACCACTCCAACTTCAGTTTTTTGGCCGACAGCTTGAAACATCAAAAAACCAGAAAAGCACTCGAAAAGCACTCCCTGGAGCACTCGGGCGCGCGTCGCACAGAATTTCTCAGTGAGGGGGCTGTCCAAGGCAGCCGCACCATAACCCCAGGAGATGCACAGTAGTTCTTGGGGGCGTCTGCCTGGAGACGACGCACGCCGTCGACCCACGCGCCTCAGTACACGCGGTCGCCTCCCCGATCCCTCACCGCCTGCTCGCCAGCGGCGCCCGCAACGGGGCGGGCGCAGGGGCGGTGGGCCTCCGGGGAAGCGGCGGGGCCTCTCGGGGGGCAGGGGCCCTCGTGGGCAGCCCTCCCAGCTGCCACGAGGCCTCCACAGAGGCCCCCCCCCGGGGCCCTCCTGAGAATGGGAGGCGGCTGGGGGGGCGGGGGGTCTGAACTGGCTGGGGCCCCAGAAAAAAAAACTGTGAGGAGGTGGCATGAAGCCAGATCCGCTCAAGAGCGGCGCAAGGATCCCTCCCGGGTTCCAGCTGGTGCAGTGTCTCGCCCTGGGTCAATGTTCATCGTCTCGGGGCCCGAAGACGGCTCCCGAAAGCAGAAACAACAACAAAAAAACTAAAACACAAACATCCCGAACCCAGAACCTCGAACCTGCCTGCCCTGTCTTGCTGGCTGGAGTCCAATGCTGGGCCAACCCAGACCCCCAGACAGCTCTAACCTCAGAAGCCCCCCGGGCCCTTCTGACAAGGCCCCTCCGCCTCCTCAAAAGCCCCCCCGCCTTCTCCGCAACCCCTTCCCCTCCCCGTCCCCGAGCCACCCTGTGACGGGGTACGCTGGGTGGCGGGCTGGAAACGGCGATACATCGCCAATAGATCATGGTCTCATGAGGTGGACCCCCAGAGGTCTACGTAGCCCCTTCCCACAGGGGACCGGCTGTTCATCCCAGGCCGTTTCTTGACGGCCCTAGGGCCTGGTGAGGGCCCTCCAAGGCCAAAATCAACGAAACACCGTCCGTCATGCTTTCTCATACGACGCGAGGGGGTCCCCTGAGATCCACGGGGAAATCTTGCAAAACATCGTGAAGAATCACAACCCAAGCCACAGACCCAAGCTTTCTCCGGCCCTGTTCATTGTTTCCTGACGGCCCTGAGGGGACACTTCAGGGCCCATTTGGGAGTCAGCAGGGGCCCAAAAGGCGCCCCAAATTGCCCCTCAGGGCCACTTTCCTCACCCCCATGTAGGTCACTCCCCATTACCTTTCGCCGGCAAGCTTTCTCCGGCATTGTTCATTGCTTCCTGACGGCCTCGGGGCCCCGCGAGGGCCCCGGAGGCGAGAACTACCGAGAGCCTCCCGACAAGACTCTGTTGCGACTCGAGGGGAAGTCTGGGCTGGAGCCGCTCCCGCGCCTCCCTGGGCCTCCTGCCAGGGAGGGGGAGGGAGAGGAGGAGATGGAGGAGGAGGAGGAGGAGGAGGAGGAGGAGGAGGAGAGGAGGAGGAGGAGGAGGAGGAGGAGGGAGGAGGAGGAGGAGGAGGAGGAGGAGGGGAGGGGGAGAGGGGGAGGGGGAGGGGGAGGGGGGAGGGGGAGGGGGAGGGGGAGGAGGAGGAGGAGGAGGAGGAGGGAGGAGGAGGAGGAGGAGAAGGATAAGTGGGAGGTGGAGGAGGAGGAGGAGGAGGAGGAGGAAGAGGAGGAGGACTAGGAGGAGGAGGAGGAGGAGGAGGAGGAGGAGGAGGAGGAGGAGGAGGAGGAGGAGGAGGAGGAGGAGGAGGAGGAGGAGGAGGAGGAGGAGGAGGAGGCGGAGGAGGAGGAGGAGGAGGAGGAGGAGGAGGAGGAGGAGGAGGAGGAGGAGGAGGAGGAGGGAGGAGGAGGGAGGAGGGAGGAGGAGGAGGAGGAGGGGGAGGAGGAGAAGGAGGGGGCAGAGGAGGCCGCCGCGCCCCCTGAGCGGCCTGGAGATCGGCACCGACGTCAACACAAAGAGGACGGAACACAAGCATCAACCCACAAACTTTCGGAGCTCCGCACGGACTGTGATCGGCGCTGGACCTCCCTGGCGGCGCCTCCGCCGCCGCCCCTGGCGCGCTCCGCGCGGAGCTCCGAAAGTGTATGTTCATGCAGTCTGTCCTTCTTCGGCGGGGTTGTCCCACACCGGGGGGGGGGGCTTCTAGAGGTGGGTGCCGCTGGTAACCAATCGGCCACCTAAGGAGCCAGAAAGTACTGCCTGCGAGTCCCATGCACCGTACCATGCTTGGACTCCCTTGAGGCCCAGCTCCAACGCAATACGGTGCGTAGCCGATCGGCCCTTGGGGCCGAAAGCCTGTGCACCGTACCAGTCCTGAGCCGAGGATCGACGACATCTCGGGAGACGCCAACGTGGTACAGTTCATACATGGGGGGCAACGATAGGGGGGAACTGGCAGAGGGGGGAGCATCGACCTGGAATCAGCGATAGATTGCCGATGGATCGGGGACAGGCTCCCGATAGCGAATCCGCATGTTCCTGGGCGGGGTGGGGCTATCAGACCCCTTTCGGCGATCAATGGGCGATTGGGAGTCGATGCATCACCCCTATGCCTATCCCCCACTGTCGTTGCCCCTGAACACAAGAAACCGGCCGCGGATCACCAACACCGAGGTCAGGATTAGCCTCCCACGGTGGAGGCAGCCGCCGACGCTGGTGCTGGTGCCAACCTCCAGGCCTGTGGGTCGAAGAACTGTGCACCGTACCATTCCAAGGCCGAGAATCTACGACGTCTCGGGAGACGCCAACGCGGTACGGTGCACACGAGCCGGACGCGGATCACCACCACCACCACCCAGGTCAGGATCGGCCTCTCTCGGCCTTTAGCAAACCTCCCCTCAATGAACACGGCCTGGGACCGAAACCGACGGACCTGGACCCGCAGAAATGGCGGCCGCGGCGCCCTCTCGCGAACCGAAGACGGCCAGTTCCTCGATCGACGCGTCAGGGTAGGAGGTCTGTCCAACCCCGGCCCCCCCGATGAGTTAGATGCTCATTCTGGGGACCTTCCTGGAGCCACTCGCTCCACTCGTGCGTCGAAGCTGCGTCGAACCTCCGTCGAACCTGAGTCGAATCTGAGTCGAATCTGAGTCGAACCTGAGTCGAACTTGAGTCGAACCTGAGTCGAACAGATCCGTTAGGTGGGCCCCACGAAGGTCCCCCAAACGAGCATCGAAGATGAGGGTGCCGGTGCCCACCTCCGGGCCTCCGAGACACCCTGCCGAGCGCGTCCTGCTCGAGGTCCCGCAGCACCTGCTGCAGCTCCGCGTGCAGGCCCGCGGAGCGCGCCCGGCGGCGCCCCAGCAGGGCCCGCTGGCCCTCCAGCGCCGCCTCCAGCTGCCGGGCCCTCTCCTCGCGGGCGGGGTCCGTCGGCATCGAGTCGTGGGGCGCACAGAGACTGACGACCTACCAGACCACCCCAACCCAACCCGAAGACGCGAATTTCGGGTTGGGGGGGGTATGGGCTCCATACGTGTTTTTTTCGATGTTCCCCGACCCCCCCCCACTGGAAGTGGAGGGCAAATTGAGGCCCTCGGGTTGGGTTGGGGTGGTTTGGTGAGTGGTGAGAGACATGCCAAGACTATGTGTCCTCCTCGGAGGCGCGCGTCCGACCCGGACAGATAGTAGACCCATCTTGTAGTACAATATCGTTTCCCGAGCGGTGTGGCCAGAAAGCGCCCGCCACGACGCACATACTACAAGGTTTTTCGGTGCGCGCGGCGCCCCTGGGGGGCCGACGAACGTATGATATAAATATGTTGGGGTGACGCCGAAGTCGGAAAAGCGGAGTGCCGGAGCGCAGTGTGCGTCGGACCGGGCCGCATCGGCGCAGAGTCGCAGTCGAACCGGATGGACCGCGCCAGGATGCACATCGGCGCATCGGATCGACGAAACGTCGGAATCGAATCGGATCGAGCTGGCCGAGATCGACATCGAGCCGGATCGATCGCGAAATGGAAGGGGGATGCTCGAGGGGCTTCTGCTCGACTGCCCCTGCTCCTGGCCCTCCCCAGACCCTGAGATCTGGGCGTTGCAGTTGCTTCACGACGGGCGACGCCGCCTGGCTTCGGACCCCGAGACCCTCACGCCGCAGAAAACCTGGGTCCAGGGCTCCAACTGCGATTCTTCACGATCTGTTGCCTTTTTGTTGCAGCGTCGGATCTCAGGGGACCCCCCGCGTCGGGAAAAAAGCACGACGAACGCTTTTTTCGTGAAGTCTAGCAGGGGGGGAGGGGGGCCTCGCCCGGTCCTGGGGCCGTCAAGGAAACGATCCAGGATGAGCAGCCAGTCCCCTGGGTAAGGGGTCTGGACCTGTGGGGTCCACGCCATAAAAAATCTCATGAC